AAAAAAAAAAAGAAAAATATGTATGATAATACTTAATTCGATTAATTATGTGTAATGCCAAATTTCACTAAAATTATAAAAGAGAGGCAAACGATCGAAATGTACACGCACAAGACATGTAACGGTAAACGATAAACATATATGATGGTTGTGAATGAACGAAACCGATCCTTGGGCGTGTACGAGTTCGTATTCGGACCGATCTACAGCTAAAGTTACGTTTGTCGTTGGATCATATTTGCAGAAATGTGTATCATAATACGACTCCGGAGATGAGCCGACGACCTTCGCAAGAGGGTGGAAATCTTATCGCGAAAAGTAAACACTCTAAAAAAAATGATAGCCGTCTTCCTCGATATGTTATTCTGCATCGAAAATCTTCCTCGAAATCATCATTCTTTAATCCATAGTAAAATTTAAAAAATAGCATAATAATTTAATATAATAGTTATATATAACTTCAGATGTAATAAATAAATAATTGACAATTATTTTATCTTTAACATATATTTTATACGCATTGTGTGCATTAATTTTATCATCAAAATTACGGAGCATTAAAAATTTTATGTTACTATTCGACCTATTATATTTATCTCATGTGCGCGCGTGATAAATTGTTTGAAATATAATGTTTAAATAATAATTTATAAACAAAAATTTATGACAGATTTTCTTTTGTCAAATCTATCAGCAAAGGGTGGATGATTATTGCCGGTTGTTGTAAAATTAGTCGAACGCAAGGTGCGATAGCGTCGCGTGGAATCACAACATGGTGTACGGTAACGTTGACACGTTCCATTTCCGGTGTTTATTGGTCTCGCGTATTCCGTGATTCCTTGGCTGGCTCCGCGATAGTGGAAAACAGTATCTACCGCGCGAAACGAAAATCGCACAAAAATTGCTGAATATCGTAAAACGAAAGCTATGCGATAAGCACATAATAAAAAACGAAATCTTTGTTAAGCAAATTTCTGTTGCCATCTACACGCTTTGAATTATTTTGTTTAAAGCAAATTTTACAAAATAAGCAAATCTCACTTATCAATTAATTTCTTACTATTCTCGGACTTGAAAATATAACTATTATAAGATATACGTCTACGAAAATACATGAATTATATTAAGGATTAAAACGGCACAAAGGCACATCAGAAGAAAAAGCAAATAAAATATAAATTAAGAGTCTAATATCAAGAAAAAAAAAATCTGGCTGCATAATACCATAATTTGTCGCAGCAGTTACATAATAAAAAAAATTACGCGGGCCAAAGACTCGAGGGGGAAATCGTTGAAATTCGATATATCCAGGTAATCGGTCCGTCCCGGAGATCGCCAGGTGAGAATCCAGCATCACGTACGGAGGAATCAGAGGAAGCGTCGCGTCGGGACCAGCAACGGTGGCGGCGGCGATGATCTCGGATGGGGATGATGTCATCGTTTGGGGGTAGAAAATACGCACCGCCCCCGAGTTAGACCAATGGCATGGCGTTGCATATTGCACGGCGACCAATCGTCTCGCACATCGCGCGGTTCTGCTGCCGAAAAAAAAAAAAGTGGCAGACGAGCAGGAGACCGAGGGGAAAGAAGGAGAGAAGAAGAGAGAGAGAAAGAGAAAGAGGGGGAGAGAGAGAGAGAGAGAGAAAGGACGGCATCGTCAGCATCGCACCACCACAACCGTCGATGGAGGCGGCCGCACGACCACAATCCAACGACGGAAGCCAGCGCGACGGCGGCTTCCACCACGAGAGCGAGAAGCGTCGAGTTCGCCTTACTAACTTGGTGACTTGGTCAATCAGTGAGCGCGTCCATCGCGGCCAAAAAGCAATTCCATTCGAGTGTCGATTACGCAATCGGTTATCCGTTCGCGCGATCCGCAACTTTGCGTGATTACCGCATCGCGACGGGGGTCATCGGTAACGTAAGAGGTGGTGGTCTCGGAACGAGACGATCCGATATAGTGTCGCTGATACCACTAGGTGTACGAGAAAAATATCCTTGTACTTCCGTCGCGCGAGTTCGATGCCTTCGCTGCGGGTGGTTCCATAGCTAATAATGATCGACCGCAAGGATTAAGGGCTCAGGTAGCAGGAATTTGCGGACTCGCACTTGACAGCGAATGGACAGTGGATCAACAATGGATATCTTTGAAGAAGGACCGAGCTCTTTTGCGCGCGCGGAGGATTATTGCGGATGCGCCAAGTATCGCATTATGATTACATAATTCATTATGAACCGTCGTCGTAATATTTTTAGAAGTTCAGATTTTGTTTCAGACGCTACTGGAACTCAAGTTCGAAGTTATTTGCTTACAGTGCGGAAATCAAATACGATTCTGAAGGACAAATAAATAATCATATATGCGTAATATATATTAGAAATTCTATGAATTTTTTTTTATCAAGTATGTAAAGCGCAAAATGACTACCGTTTACAGGATCGTGTTTTTTAAAGTCTTAAACGCAAGGGTAAAAACTCATATTGACAATTATGTGGATAATCGTGACATTGTAATGATTAAAAAATAATTATTAAGCATTCGAGCTACTCTTTTGTGATAAAGTACATGGACCGTCGGATGTATCATGAGAGAACAACGATTTTATAGAATTCATAGATTTATTGTGATCTCGTAAAAAAATTGTGACATTTTTTCAAAATTGAAACTTGCAAGCACACACAGTTTTTTGAATACGTTAATTTTTTGGTTGAAAAAAAAAAAATGCCAAGGCTTTATTGGAGTAAGTCTTGATGAATGAGAATGTAGTGGGCGTCATTATGAATGAAAGTGCGTGATTAAACAATCGTCGCGCCGACTCGAACGTGCGGATGCTTACTTTCGTCATCAGTTATTCATCCGGCTGATCTATAAGACACAACGATATACTATCCCGAACTGCTGAATAGCAGAAGCGGAAAAGTACGCCTCGCAAACGTTCGATAATAAAAAGTGACAATATATAATATATGGACAATGAAAGAACGTTCGTAGAGATACAGAACTGCCAGTGAATTTTCGAAACTTTATTCGAAATAGACAAGTCGTGCAGCACAGAGTGTTAATCCATTTTTCATTTGCAATTTTGAGAGCGGGAAGTCATATTTTTAATCTGTAATTCGAGACAAGTGATCGTCGATCGAGATTCGAAAAACGCGGAGAAAGCTCGCGTTTGTTACGTTCTATTATATTTCCCGCGCACCGGGACCGGCGAATGAGCACGGAATCCTGTCTTCTGTCCGACACCTCGGTTCATGAGAGCCACGCAGCCGCCAGCCAAGGATGTCGGACAGTTCGGAACAGCTGTCATCGCCGAACAGCGACTGCAACAGCCAGATGGGCGTCGTGCATCGCAATGCAACCGCGCAGTACGGCAACGCGACGTCGATGTCTGGTCTCGGGTTGACTCATCATCCCCAGAATTTGACGCCTACGTCGAACGGCAGTCCCTCCTGGAGAGCTCCTGCGGATACTGATCCGCAGGAGCTCTCCACCTGCAGCTCCGCCAGCGTGAGCACCAATATCACCAACATCAGCAGTCTCTCCTTCAGCAGCACCACCAGCCTCTCCCTCAGCAGCACCACCAGCAATTTCACCCCCGAGCAAATATCCTGCATGTGCGAAGCGCTTTCGCAAAGTCAGGATATCGAGAAGCTGTCGAGGTAATT